GCTGGGCAGAGAGCTGTTGGGACCATGGTCTCAGGGAACATCTAGCTCAATTGGCATAACACAGTTTATGAAGACAATGTTCTACATTCTACCTTGGTGAGCAGCATCTGGGCTCCTAAAGGCCATCTAAGATACTCCACTAGTCTCACCTCTTCGGGAGCAAGGGAGTATGAAGAGAACAAGATACAAGGAAAGATTAATCCAAAGGACTAATGGACCACAGCTACCATGGCCTCCATCAGACTGAGTCCAGTACAGCTAGATGGTGCCCGGCTACCACCACTGACTGCTCTGACCAGGATCACGATAGAGGGTCCTGGACAGAGCTGGAAAAGGATGTAGAACAGAATTCTAACTCACACAAAAGAGACCAGATTTACTGGCCTGACAGACTGGAGAAACCTCGAGAGTATGGCCCCTGGACACCCTTCTAGTTCAGTGATGAAGCCCCTCCCAAAGTTCACTGTTCAGCTGGAGATTGGACAGCCTCGTAAAACAAAACAGGACTAATGAGGCACAGCAGTCCAGGGACAAGGACTAGAAGGCAGTAGGGGAAAGGAAAGCTGGTGATAGGGAACCCAAGGTTGAGAAGGGACAATGTTGACATGCCATGGGGTTGTTAACCATTGTCATAGGGCAATATGAGTACTAACTGTTTAATGAGAAAGTATTTGTTCTGCAAACCTTTATCTAAGGTACAAAAAAAAGAAAAAAGAACTATCTATGTGAGATCATGTTGACAACAGCAACTCAAAGGGTTTGATGGGAAGCCTAGGGGGCAGTGAGCTGAAGATAATGGTGATGGAATAATTTGGAAAAGGATGGTGAGAATAGCAGCACAGCTGGAAGAATATAATCAATGTCACTGAATTGTACACGTAGAAACTTTCAAAATGGTGTAACTTTGGCTATGTATATTTTCACCAAAAAAAAGTCCTCAAGGTCGAGAAGGGAGAGTGTTGACACGTTGTGGGGTTCTTAACCAATGTCATAAAACAATATGTGTACTGACTGTTTAATGAGAAGCTATTTGTTCTGTAAACCTTCATCTAAAGTGCAATAAAAAATTTTAAAAGAAATCTAGAAATTATCCTTTATTCCTTACAAACAAATCCTTTCTATACCCAAATCTGTCCTCTTCATCTCCACTCCCACCAACTCAGTCCAAGCCACAACTAACTTCTCCCTGCTTCCACTGTTGCCACTCTACAATCATTTCCACCCAGCAGTCAGAATGATCTTTTAAAAAGCCAGTTCAGATTATATCATTCCTCTGTTCAGAATCCTCCAATGGTCCCTACTGCACTTAGAATAAAATTCCAAATGCCTTTACTTTAGTGGCCAAAACCCTGCATGATCAACTCTTCCCTTGTCCATTATTGTGCAGCCACTTTAGTCGTCTTTCTCACCTCAAACTCACCAAATTTTTCCCTCTATCTGGACTGTTCTTCCTTCCCTCAGGGACTTTTACCAGGCTGACTCCTTCTTGTTATTCAGATCTTGGGTAATAGTACCTCCTCATAAAAGTTTTTCCTACCCACCTAATCTCTAGTAGCCACCAGTCACTAGCTGTCACATCACTGTATTTAAATTTTCTGCATAGCACTTCTCACTATCTGATATTTTGTTTGTTTATTTTTGTTTACTGTCTGCCTCCCCCATTTAAGAAGTTAAGTTCTGTGAGAACAGGGACCTTATCTACTTTCTAGATACAGTTCATGACTGTATCCCCAAGCACCTAGAACACTACCTGGCATATAGTAGGTGCTCAATAAATATTTGCTGGATGAAAATTGAACTTCTTTGTCTTAAATTATCATTTCTTGAGAATGACTGCCCTTTTCCAAAAGCTTCAAACTTACATTTCTAAATTCCTTGTTGAGTATCTCTATCTAAATGTTCTGCAAATACCTCAAACTCGACATGCCTCAAACAGAAATCATCATTCCCCTCTCTGCTCAGTTACTCTTCTAAACCTTGCTGCTTCTCTCAGTTAACGGCATCATCATTAGCCAAACTGATCAGGCTGAAGGTCTTCTTTGATTCCTTTCTCCCTCTTGTCTTTCACCATTTATCAGATGCTATTAGTCTTTATTTTATCTTGCATCTTTCCCTTCTTTTTCACAGCAGTTGCTGCCGTCTCATTTTAGACCTAACTGCTGAGTCCTGATGGTTCATTGGTTAAGAGCTCGGCTGCTAACCAAAAGGTCAGCAGTTCGAATCCGCCAGCTGCTCCTTGGAAACCCTATGGGGCAGTTCTCTGTCCTATCAGGTCACTATGAGTCGGAATAGACTTGTTGGCAACAGGTTTGGTATTTTTGGTTTACCTTTCACTTGGACTGTTATAAAAACTTCTTAGTTGGGCTTTTTGCTTCCAGTCTCTCTCCTTTCCAGACCATTCTACCTTCCACCCATTGTGTCACTTTTCTGTTAAAACAAACAAGCAAATAAACAAATGAACAAAATACAGTCATTACTTTATGCCCTGGAGAGCCAAGGAGGCCTTCATCCCCAGCTTCTAGCCCTGGTGGCACGGTGGTTAAGAGATGGGCTGTAACCAAAAGCTGCTCCTTGGAAATCCTTTGGGACAGTTCTGCTCTGTCCTATAGGGTCGCTGATTCAGAATCGACTTGTCGGCAATGAGTTTTGATTTTGGTTTATTTTTCTAGCCTAAATTTTCACTGTATCCCTGCAACCCTGTGCACATGACCTAGTACCGTGCGTGGTCTCATCAGTCTCATGGCTGTTGGTCAGCACTTACACAAGGCTCTTACCCTGCATCTTTACATAAATGATTTCCTCTGACTAGAGTGCTGCTGAGTCCCTACATCCCTTTTTCTGGGTAATACAGCTTTACCCATCTTTCTTTGAGACCTAACTAAAAAACTACCTCCCCCAAGAATCCTTTCCAGATCTATACCCAACCCCAAAATAGGAACTAATGGCAGAGGTGCTTAGTATCTCTATTATCATGTTTTAATTAGTTATTTATGGGTATAGTTGTCTCCTCTAATTATAAACAAAAACTTGGCCTTATTTGTGCTTGAATTAAGTATAATTTGGTAATCTCCTTTATGTATCCTGAGACCCGACTGCATGTTGCCAGCGTCCGTGTGATCCTGTGGGGTAAATCTGGGATTATGTTCAGTTTCCTTGTACTTCTTTTTCAAAATGGCTTGGTTGGAGATGCATGGAGTACACAGAGCCGTGGATTTTTTTAAGTGTTCTTTGTTCAATTGCTTGTTTCCTTGTTTTTGGTGTTCTACCCTTAATGTAGATCTTGTGTCTCAACAATATTTATTTCTATATGCCTATGAAATGGAACATATTGTGTTAGGTAAAGTGGATGTATTTCGTAACTATTGTGTCTCAAAGCACACAATGACACCTCAACAGAAATGAGATAAAGAGTTTATGCTCCAGTAACATTGCTGCTGTTTTCTTCTTTCGAAGGTTTTTTAGTTTTGCTATAAAGCTTGCTTTGCTTCACTGTTTTCTGAGCCCGTTCTTTCATGAGCTCCCAATAAGCCGTGCTGTAGACCTTAACATTGACTTTTTTCTAGAAACAGGTTTCAAAATTGTCTTTCTTCAAGTATTCTCTCCCGATTTCTTAAAAAGCAAATCAGTGTGTATTTTATAACATCATAGAATCTGAAAGTTGGAAAGGTCCTTTGTGATCATGTAATGCTCACTTTGCAATAACATCATAGAATCTGAAAGTTGGAAAGGTCCTTTGTGATCATGTAATGCTCACTTTGCAGATGAAGACCCACATTAATGCCAAAAGGTTCTCAGCCAGTAAGTGGCAGATGAGTCTATGACTCAAGTGTACCTGTTGCTGCTATGTCAGTTGAAGAAATTATTCTCCTCCCTTCTGATCTGAAGGATTCTGTAGAACATCCTTTGAGATGCACTGGGAGCTGGGGAAGGATGACCCCCAAAACCCAGATTTATACTTTGCCCTTTCGGCTGGGGGGGAAACTCTTTGGAGGAGAAGTTTGGGGAAAGAGAAGCCATCCTTGCCTGGCACAGGCATATACCAGGATTCTGATGGATAGTGTACAGTGACTGAATCAAAGGTAGACTTGTGAGGCATCTTTCAAGGGTAATGGAAGGAAATGACACACAAGAAACTGGGCTTTGGAAACCGTCCGGTATTATTCATAAATGTTTGCAAGGTGAGATCATAGAGAAATTACGTCCCCTCCCCTCTCCACTTCCTAGTCCTTATCCACTAACAACAAGATGTGAAAAGCAAATCAAGTGACAGGAATGAGAAAGCAATCAGCTTTCTATGGAATGGGTATGTGAGTTTGTATAGGTATGGAAGTGGTGAAGATGGTTGACTATAAATACTTATTCCCCTTCCTACTTCTCTCTTCCATTAAACACATTTTGAAAGGTTTTGTTATGTCTTTCTTTTTCCCTGGTTCGTGTAGCTGTGCCACCCTAGATATAGCTTTTCTTTTTTTTTCCCTTGCCACCTTCTCGGTAAAAGGGAGGACAGTTAGAACAGTAGGTCTTAATAATGCTTTGGCACAAATATACTTCACAGCTTTTACATCCTGTGTATTCTTCATTCTCATTCTATCATAAATCTTAACCTTTCTTTGCCTCACTTCTCACATCTGTAAAATGAGTGAAATAGTAATACCTACCTCATATGATTGCTGTAAAGATTATATGTTATCACACCTAAACCTCTTAAAATAGGTCTGGCATATAGTAAACACTCAAATGTAAAGCTGTTATCATTATTGCTATTGTTATTAACAGTTGTATTCATGCTCTTCATCCTGTTCATTCCTATCACCAATGATTATTCCTTTAACTTTCCTTTTTAGTCTCCTCTGTAATTCAAGTGCTTTCTTCAAATTCAAATAATTTAATGAAAAGAAAATTTATATATGCAGAGATGACTGATTTAATTTCTTCAGTCTTTTAGAGAGTAGGATTCTTTTCCTTCTGAGAGTAAACTTATATTTTCCTTCTTGTTACAGGTGGTATGCAGGATTACAATTACGTATGGGCCAACTGCTTTGAGATCACATTAGAACTGTCTTGTTGCAAGTACCCACCTGCTTCGCAGCTTCGACAAGAGTGGGAGAACAATCGCGAGTCTTTGATCACATTGATTGAAAAGGTAAAAGTACTTGACTGGAAGGTTGGGGTATGGAAATAATAGATTAAATAAGGAGGAATTTGGTTGCATATGAATGACAATCTATACTAGATACGCTTTATTTTATTGATCTGTTTTTATTATTTATGCTTGTAGATTATCTCTAGAGATTATTATATCAGAATAAATTCTATCTCTACCTCTCCTTCAGTGTTGCCTGCCCCTACCCCTTAGCTTTCTTGCTCTAAAGGACTCCTTTTGCTTATCTTAGAACACTTTTATAAACTTAAACAATCAACCGAATTTGTACTCCCCAGGTCTTACAAGGTCATTTGATCATATGTGGCTGGAGGATCTTTACTACTGTATGAACCATGGGCATTCAGGTTTAAATACCAGATAGGCTAATACAACTGTTGGATAGACCAGAAATTATTACTTGTATCATGCTGAGAAAATCAGCAGTCTGGCTTTGAAGAGAGGGAATTTCAAAAGCACACAGCCTACTAGTGTAGATTTCGGACATATATGACTTACGTTGGTAAGGGTTTAATATTTTTGTTTACATTTTGTTTTAAATAGGAAGGATTGGAAAATTTTTAAAGAGATAGAGTAGTAATTTTATTTCTTAGAAGTTCTAGCATCAGTGCAGAGAGGTTACACGCTCTTGCCTTCCAAATTGTCTCTGAGCAGTCTACTTTGATTCTTTCTTTCTTATTTCTTAGGTCCACATTGGAGTTAAAGGATTTGTTAAAGACTCAGTAACAGGATCTGGCTTAGAGAATGCAACCATCTCAGTGGCTGGTATTAATCATAATATCACAACAGGCAGATTTGGAGACTTCCACAGATTACTTGTTCCTGGGATGTATAACATTACAGCAGTTTTAACTGGGTAAGAACTTAAACTGGGCTTTTAAAATGTCAAGCTTCTTTTTTATGTCCAAGACAGAAATATAGTGTATTTTTACACAGATAACATCTGCCTTCCATATTTGTTTGCCATCACGCCCTCCCCCCATGAGGTATTTTCATAAGCACCACTATGCCAGTTTTTTTTTCACATGTTGCTGTAAGAAAGTTAACATAGCACACTTACGAAAATACCTCGTAGGGGGAGGGTGCAGTTGGCAAACAAGCATAGTAGACACACATTATTTACATAAAAATACCATAGTCCAAGAAATGTTATTTGCTGTGTCTGGCTTTTTTTTCTCCCCGCCTTTTATAATGAGAAAATACTACCCTGGAGTCTTTTGTCACATAGTCTAACAGTACAACTGGATGTGAAACATAATTGTAACATTGGGAGGAAAGACAGTTTTTGTTTTTTTAAATTTATTTTGTTGTTGTTGAGAATATACACAGCAAAACCTACATCAGTTCAACCGTTTCTATGTGTACAATTCAGTGACATTGATTACATTCTTTATTCATTCAATGTGCAACCATTCTCACCCTCCTTTTCTGAGTTGTTCCTCCCCCATTAACATAAACTCACTGCCCCCCTAAGGTTCCTTTCTAATCGTTGGAGTTACTGTTGTCACTTTGATCCCATATAGATAGTTCTTAAAAGAGCATAATGCTGAAGGCAGATTTTTTTTACTAGTTAAGCTAAACTATTGTTTGGTTTTAAGAATATCTCAGGGGATACTTTTGGTTTAAATTTTATAGATTATCTTAGGGCAGTAGTTTCAGGGATTCATCCAGCCCCCATGGCTCCAGAAAGTCTGGAGTCCATGAGAACTTGAAATTCTGTTCTGCATTTTCCCTCTTTTGACAGGATTCTTTTATAGAACCTTTGATCAAAATGTTCAGTAATGGTAACAAGGCACCATCCAGTTCTCCTGGTCTCATGGCAAAGCAATCAGTTGTTCATGGAGGCAATTAGCCACACATTACAAATCCCCCTATTCCCGATTCTCCTTAGAAGGACAGTTTTTAAAGCTTGAAAATATAGCTGTGTAAAGCATTGCTTCAAGGCTAATTGAATGCCTGTGTAGAAGAAACCCAGGGCTCTGTAAAAGACATTTGGAAGTGCTATCTTATCATCAGGTTTTCAGTATATGAAAGGAGTGATTTCCCATCTCCCCTGGAAACCTTTCTGGAAGCTCACTTTGATAAGGATTTAATTGATAACCTTTAACTTAATTCTGGACTTTTCTGTTTGGGACAGTATTTGGAATGTCAGTATGATAATTTATTCCTTCTTTGAGTACTGTAGTGATGGTTACAATGGAGTGACAAGCTTCATCTTTCGGTGCACTTTTTCCTTTGAGAAATGTAATGTTTTTGTAAGCATTCTAGTGGGTGGTACCTGAGAAGATAATAAGAGAAATAGTTCTTCAAAGTCTTAATCTGGAATTTTTTGAGATAGTGTCCTAAAACTCTTTAAGTTTATACATCTACATTCAGTTTGAGTTTTGATAGACCACTAAGTACAAGAATATGAAAAGACTACTGTGCTTTTTATAATGTTAAAGCATCGTGTGTCTTAATTTAACTCCAAGGCATCTGGCTTTTCGAATATTTCCTCAGGTATATGCCACTGACTTTTAATAATGTAACTGTGAAAGAAGGACCAGCTACAGAGGTGAATTTTTCCCTTCGGCCGACTGTGACTTCAGTAATCCCTGACACAACTGAGGCTGTAGCAACGGCTAGCACGATCGCTACACCTAATATTCCTCGTGGAACACCATCCTCACACCAGCCAAGTCAGCCAAAGGACTTTCACCACCATCATTTCCCTGATATGGAAATCTTCTTGAGAAGGTTTGCCAATGAATATCCTAACATCACTCGGCTTTACTCATTGGGAAAATCAGTAGAGTCAAGAGAACTTTATGTGATGGAGATATCTGATAATCCAGGTGTCCATGAGCCAGGTAATTGCTGTGGTCTTACAGATAATTTCACTAGTGCCTCTCAAAGCTATGTACTGTGTTGCTGTGTTTCATCCAGAAAGGTCACCTGGAACAAAGAAAAGAAAATCCATTTGATAATCCCTACTAGGCATGATATTTAACATATTGCATAGATTAGATTTTCTTCTGCTAATATTTTTTATTGTCATATTATATGGTGTATATATATTTATGTGCTTTGAGCCTACTTCTCAGACATATATAGCAATAAGGAAGCTGCTTTATGTTTGTGAAGTTTTTTCCTACTTCCTTCTCCAAAATACATGTTTCATTAAATTTTTAGTTCAGAATCTTTATATACATGGGTGAAAAAAGTGTAGAGTACATGATAACTGAAAAGAAGTCTTCCATGTAATTATTTTGTTTTCAGGTGAACCAGAATTTAAGTACATTGGAAATATGCATGGAAATGAAGTGGTTGGAAGAGAACTGTTATTAAACCTCATTGAATACCTTTGTAAGAACTTTGGAACAGACCCTGAAGTAACAGACTTGGTTCGCAGCACTAGAATTCACCTTATGCCATCCATGAATCCTGATGGATATGAAAAGGCCCAGGAAGGTAAACACTCATTTTTTTTTTTTTTGGGGGGGGGTGATTGTTTTGGTTATCACATAGCATGATTATTTTGGGGGTAGAAGAGAATTTGAACTGATTATTTCTTCTTCTGATTTATCATTTATTATTCCTGTGAGATAGACCTCTCTATTCAACAATTATATGATCAAGTTTATATTTAATGGAGTTTTCCTTCCACTTTGGTATTGGCTCTTATTTGCCAAAAACTGTATAAGATTTTTACAAATTATTCCATTTTAACAATAGTTCTTGCTAAGTTATTGTATTGAGAACCTTATAAATGACAAATCAAACCAAATATCTTCTGAAACCAGTGATTCTGTTTTGACTATCAGTTCTATTCTCCATCTGTATTTTAACCCTGCTAAATTATTGACTTTCTATTCCTCTGCCTCCTCTAGGCAAGCCCATCTGTCCTGGGGCAATATAGTATGTGCAGGGAGGGCAGCATGCTTACACAGGCCACCTTATGCAGAATGCTGGAAGAGTGAGAATCCATTTTTTCCCAACCCAGGGGAATAGAATACCAAAACCAAAAAAACCAAACCTGATGCCGTTGAGTCAATTCCAACTCATAGCAACCCTATAGGACAGAGTAGAACTGCCCTATAGGGTTTCCAAGGAGCGGCTGGTGGATGCAAACTGCCAACCTTTTCGTTAGCAGCAAAACTGTTAACCACTGTGCCACCAGGGCTCCCGCAACTACGTGATTTATGCAACTACATAATTTATCACTGGCACTGACTTGGCCAATGGGAAAATCAGCTGGTCATTAACACCAAAAATGTCTTTTCAACAAATAGTCAGGTTAACCCTTATCTATGTTATTCAAATTCTTTCCCTAGGGACCCCTCCCACATTCCTCACCAGGCCTTTCTGGAAGGTGGAACTAATTACCACTTGTGCATCCTTAGTCATGTTTTCTTTATTTACTTGCAATTTTTTTCTCATTGCGACAATAATAGGGCTCCCAATCTGTATTAAAATGGAATATGCACAGTGAAGCTTAAGTTGAACCTTTTCTCTTCCATCTGGTTGAACTTTCTTTCAACTATGTTCTTGGCTAATTTTACTTTTTTGTGGTCACTTTAATAAAAGCCTACCACAATTTGCTTCTCTTCATTTGATCTGTTTTTAGCAAAGTCTTAGTGACCTGTCTACCAGTATAACAGATCAGTAATGCCCACTCCACATTGTGGTCATATCATTGTATGTGGACTATTGACAACTGAGCAGTACTTTAATATAATGTGTGTAAATGGATTTCATTTTCCCTCAAAGTATAACCAGGGGACAGAAACTGAAGTATAAAGGTTTTCCCTCTCTGTTCAGTAGATCTGGAGGAGATCAATTTTTTTAAATGTACAATGTAAAAAAGATGTGTGTTTTAATCATAGTGTGATTGATGATAGTGAAGCCTGATGTGTTCACACTTATCTTTGAGTTAAGATAGCTGAAGTAATATGTATTGGATTAAAATATAAGTGAAATATGGCTTAAATATGAATCCTGTTATCATATAGGAGATTCAGTAAGTGTAGTTGGCAGAAACAACAGCAACAACTTTGACCTGAACCGAAATTTCCCAGACCAGTTCATTCAGATCACAGATCCTACCCAACCAGAAACTATTGCCGTGATGAGCTGGATGAAGGCATATCCATTTGTACTATCAGCAAACCTGCATGGAGGTATGGCAACTTTTTATTCCAATAATTAGTTCCTCTGGAGAGCTTTTGAAAATCCTGGTAGAATTTTAGGTGTTTACAATCTTAGGCTTTCTTAAAATGAGTGTCATCTATTGCTTTTATGGCAGACAACATAAAGGTTTTCTGATTACTTTTTAGGTCATTTCTCTGACTGTTTTTCTCTCCCTCTTTCCCTCTTCTCTCCTTCTCTTTCTCTCCTCTCTTTTTGGTGGTTCTTCAAGTGTTTCGTGTTTATCTCTCACGAGTGTTTTATATTTATCCCTCACATGGGGAATTTGGTAACATGCTAATAGAGCCAAATATTTAGTCGTTTTCTGCCTATAGTTGAATAAACTCTTTTATGTAAGTTTATATTTTGGCATTTTCTTATCTTCTACTTGCTAGATTTTTAACTGCAGCCCAGTGACCTCATTCTCCTGTAATGTCTGAGCTTGTACACCCCCATGTAACTCATCAGGAATGGATCAGTTGAATAGAATGAGAGGTCAGGATTCAAAAACATCATCATGTCCTACTATGAATAGGTGTGAAGGTGTTATTGCCCAAGAGAAATGAAAACATATATCCACACAGAAACTTGTACATGAACGTTCACAGCAGTATTATTCATAGTAGCCAAAAAGTAGAAACAACCGAAATGTCCACCAGCTGATGAATGGCTAAATAAAACGTGTTATGTCCCTACAGTGGAATATTATCAGCCATAAAAAGGAATGAAGTACTGATAAATGCTACAGTGTGGATAGACAACAAAAAACATGCCAACTGAAAGAAGCCAGTCACAAGAGACCACAACATATCCTGTAATTTCACTTCTATGAAGTGTATATGAAATGTTCAGAATCCAAAACCAAACCTGTTGCCATCAAGTCAGTTCCGACTCATAGCAACTCTATAGGACAGAGTAGAACTGCCCATAGGGTTTCTGAGGAGCGGCTGGTGGATTCGAACTGCTGACCTTTTGGTTAGCAGCCCAGTCCTAAAAAAGACAGAAAGGTTAGTGGTTGCCTCAGGCTGGAATGACTACTGACAAGTACGGGGGGGTTCTTTTTGGACTAATGAAAATATTCTGGGATCCGATAGTAGTGGTGGTTTTACGATCCTGTGAATATACTAAAAACCATTGAATTGTACACTTTAAATGGGTGAATTGTATGGTATGTGAATTATATCTCAGTGAAACTATTTTTTTAAAAAAAAGAATGTATGTGCTAGCACCAGGCCCAATGGGAAGAAATTTAGTGTCAACATTTGTTGGAATGGTATCTCCTTAGGATGTCAAAAAGAAGTGTCACAGTTGAGATTTGATGGCATGTAGATTACTACTTTAGAAAGACGTTACACATCTATGGATATTTAGATTTAAGAAGTAAATTGAGGTTCTCTAAAAGCTGCTTTGAAAGCTTTCCAGTAGTAGAAAAAAATACTTCTACAACTGGTAATCATGGACTATGTTTAAAGAGCTAAATAAAAATTACGAAGTTACAGCCTGGTTGGCAAAATAATTTCTTTTGTTTTCTTTTTTATATTTTGTATCATATTTGATGGAAGATTATTTTCATTTTGAGCTTTGAAAAAAAATCCTCATAATAAGTCACATGTCACCTTGGCTGAATATGAAAACTTAATTAATACTAGTTGCGTTCCAGTGAAGACAATTCACAAATTTACAGATGTGGTATTAAAACCTTGGCCTAGTTGGGGAGGGTAGGCATTCTCAGTCACGTAGATAGGTTTCTTTCCATGACATATTTTGTTTTCTCATCTTAAAATCTGTAAATAGGTTTTGAAATCTTGGCAAAGAAATTTAAAAGAGAATTTCTTTGCTGCCAGTTTAACAATTTTAAAGGATTTTAAAAGACTGTAGGGAAAAGCAAGAATCCTTTTTGTAAATTTTGATACTAATTATTATTTTTTTATTGAGGTGAAATTCACATAGCATAAAATTAACCATTTTAATGTGAACAACTGATTGGCATATAGTGCATTCATGGTATTGTGCAACCACCACCTGTATCTAGTTTCCAAACATTTTCATCTCCACCAAAGGAAACCCCATACCTGTTAAGCAGTTGTTCTCATCCCCAGCCACTGCAACCACTAATCTGCATTCTGTCTTTATGAATTTATTCTGAATATTTCATATAAATGGAATTATACAGTACGTGACCTTTTACGCCTGGCTTCTTTCACTTAACATAATGTTTTTTGTGGCTCATCCACATTGTAGTGTGTATCGATATGTCATTCATTTTTATGCCGTTGTATGTACATGCTACAGTTTTTTAAATCTGTTTATCTGTTGGTGGACATTTGGGCTGTTCCCACCTTTTGGCTACTGTGAATACTGCTGCTATGAAAATGCTTATACATGTATTTATCTGAGTACCAGTTTTTTGTTCTTTTGAGCATATACCTAGGAGTGAAATAGTTAGGTCATATGGTAACTCTATTTTTAACTTTTTGAGGAATCGCCAAATTCTTTTTCATAGTGACTGAACCATTTCACATGGCCATCAGCAATGTACAAGGGTTCCAGTTTCTCCACACATTCCCTACCCGTGTTATTTTCTACTTTTTAAAATTATAGCCATCTTATGTGTGCGATGTGATACCTCCCTGTGTTTTTAATTGCATTTCCCTAAACACTAATGATGTTGAATATCTTTTTATGTGCTGGTTAGCTCTTTGTATATCTTCTTCGGAGAAAAGTCTATTCAAGTCCCTTGCTTATTTTTTAAAATTGGATTGTTTTTGTTGTTGTTAAGTTGCAAGCATTCTTTATATGTTTTGGATACTAGACCCTTATCAGATACATGGTTTGCAAATATTTTCTCCCTTTCCGTAGGTTGTCTTTTCACTCTCTTGATGGTGTTCTTTGAGACACAGAATTTTTAATTTTTAAGTCCAATGTATTTCTTTTTCCTTTTGTTGCTTGTGCTTTTGTTGTTAATACTAAATTTTTTTTAAATAACTGTTTGGTTGAAATACTGTAAGTCTTTTATGCCTTTTTTTTTTTTTTGCCTTAGAAAATTAGCCATCTGAGACTTAGCATTGGGTAGAAGTCGATGTTGCCTTTTTACTAGCAGAATGTTCTAGATCTGGGTCATGAACCCAGGGTGAAATCAAAGATTTTTGAGAAATTAAATCTGTCTAAGAAGAGGTGGTGAAGCATACTTAGCTTGTTAGACCTATTTTGGGAAATAGGATGGGCATAATTCTTCATATTTGCTTTTTAAAGAAATGTTTAATTTTTCTATTAATGTTTCCTGGTGTTTGTTACTATAGGATTACTTCATCAGAATTCAAGTTAAATATCTTCCTTCACTTTAATTCCCATGAAGTGGCATAAAAAAGGGCAATGATGAATGACTTAGTAGAAGGCAGTATAAATGGACAGATGGACAAATGAAAATAATGCGACTAATAGGAAGAAAGAGTTTAACCCTATGGTAGGGCATTTGGGGTATTTAGCTTAGACTTTTGCCTGAGATGTACCCCTAACTGCTTTATGCCCTCTGGGGAGTATGAAGGAAGTTGTTATTTTTTACATATGCTTTAAAGCATCCTTTTCTTTACCTTAGGTCATATAATATAGTTTCTAATTTGAAAAGTCATGATATAATTTCTAATATGACTCTAAGAGAAATTTTTAGCTTTTTTTCTGAGCATGAAATTAAGACATCCTTGGGTTCCAGGGCTGGCTCTGCTATCCATAAGTCATTTAACCTCTCTGTTTTAGATTCCATATCTGCAAAATGAGGAGGATGAATTAGTTGGACTTCAAGAGTCCCTTGTTTTAAAACCTCATGGCCTTAAACATATGTGAATTTTACTGAAAAAAGTATCCGATTTTACTCATTTTTCTGATCCTAATTATTATAAAAGTAAAATTGTTTGAATTTCATCTGTATACTTCTGCTTTCAGCTCTGACATGTAAATCACTCCTGTAAATTCAGGTAAACTCCCAAGACCTTTCCAGTTAAGGTGCTCTTTAGATTCGTGCATACTTTTCTTACTTATCCACTTTTATTTTCTATTGAGGACATTAGCTAGTAGCCTTGGCAAATTTTATTGGTTTCTTTCTCTGACAGTATCGTGAAAAGCTTATTTTATGTTAATGAGCCACCTTGAAACGGATGACATGACACATTTTCCTCTTTTCTGTTGTAGGTTCGTTGGTGGTGAACTATCCTTATGATGATGATGAACAGGGGCTTGCAACATATAGTAAATCACCAGATGATGCTGTGTTTCAACAAATAGCACTTTCTTATTCCAAGGTAAGCTTGTGCTTAAACATGTTGTTGTTAGATGCCATCAAGTTGATCCAACTCATAGCGACCCTATGTAAACAGAATGAAACACTGCCCAGTCCTGTGCCATCCTCACAATTTTTGCTATGCTTGAGCCCTTTGTTGCAGCCACTGTGTCTTTCTATCTCATTGAGGGTCTTCCTCTTTTTCGCTGACCCTCCACTTTACCAAGCATGATGTCTTTCTCCAGGAATTGGTCCCTCCTGATAGCATGTCCAAAGTACCTGAGACGAAGTCTCGCCATCCTTTCTTCTAAGGAGCACTCTGGCTGTACTTCTTCCAAGACAGATTTGTTTGTTCTTCTGGCAGTCCATGGTATATTCAGCATTCTTTGCCAGCACTATAATTCAAAGGCATCAATTCTTCTTTCGTCTTCCTTATTCATTGTCCAGCTTTCCCATGCATACGAGGCAATTGAAAATACCATGGCTTGGGTCAGGCGCACATTAGTCCTCAAAGTGACAGCCTTACTTTTCAACACTTTAAAGAGGTCTTTTGCAGCAGATTTTCCCAATGCAATGCGCCATTTGATTTCTTGACTGCTGCTTCCATGGACGTTGATTGTGGATCCAAGTAAAATGAAATCCGTGACAACTTCAGTCTTGACTCCATTTATCATGATGTTGCTTACTGGTCTAGTTGTGAGGATCTTTGTTTTCTTTATGTCAACATAAGATGCTATAAAATTAATTCTTTTGTTTAAAAAGAAAAACTCCTTAAATGTCTTGCAAGATTCAGGCCAAGTGCTTTCTTTGTTAAGCTTCCCGTAATTCCTGTAGGGCAGCTTAGGACTTTTGCTCCTATGTTTTCCCCCCTTACTTTTGAACCTATTACATATACTGGTTTCCTAGGGCTGCTGTAGCAAAATACCACAAACTGAGTGGCTTATAAGAACAGAAATTTATTGTAATAGGATAAGAAAATGGTTGTATAGCCTGCAATCAGAGTACAGAGGGGCCAGCTCAGTCCCTAGAAGCCAGGGAAAGCTGCTTACTTTACATTGTATGTGTATTATCTTTTTTGGACTTTAAGTTTCTTGAAAGCATGAAGTGAAAGTATGAATATGAGCAGATTTTTTTTGCGGGGGGCGGGGACAAGATTTAGTCTGGGTTTTCTATTGTAATTGCCAGTAATAAATGAATTCTTCGATTTTTTTTTTGTAGATCACATTTAATTTTGATTTTTAAAAATAGATAATAAATTCACATAGTCAAAAATTATGGTGTAGAAAGCTATACATTAAAAGTTCTCACTGCTTCCCATGGCCCCATCTACCCTATTCCCACTCTACACATACCCTATTTATAACCACTTTTATTATTTTCCTATATCCTTCCAGTGTTTTTTGATGCAGACATAAACAAAAAGAAATATAAATTATTTCCCTCCTTCTTTCACAAAAAAGTAGCATACTGTCTACACTGATCTATATCTTGCTTTTTTCACTAAGCAATATGTCCTGGAGATCATTCCAGATTCAATCTTTAGTATTCTTTTGAGACAGAGAAATGTCAGTTGAATGACCATATTGCTAGAGGTCATTCACTGTAAATTTTTGTTTTTGTTTTTCAGGAAAATTCACAGATGTTTCAGGGTAGACCTTGTAAGAATATATACCCTACTGAATATTTTCCTCATGGAATAACAAATGGAGCTAACTGGTATAATGTCCCAGGTAAAGATAATTTTATATCAAGACCGTGGAATCTGATGGAATTTTTCCCCTGAATGGTGCTGCTGCCTGTCACTGATCTTTTAATTTTGAGAGAATCAATCTTTTAAAAATATTTTAAAATATTGCAAAAATATTTAGTTAAAAGCATTCAAAATAACTTTTTCAGCTATTTAAAAATTCTGTGTACCATTTACATGTAATATACTGAAACTTGGTGAAAGTGTTATATTTTACTTCTGTCTCTTACAAAGAACCTTAGATGTGCTAATGGAAGAGTAAAAGTACAGGTGCTCTACCTGTGTACCACAAGCATCAAAAGAGCCCTCACAGGAACGCATTATTGTTTTTCAACCAAATGTTGACGAAAGATGAATTTTGCTTTTTACTAGGAACGCTGCTTACCTTTTGGGATCTGAGCTATTTAGAACTTCTTCAGAGTGAGTGATTTTAATTTTTTAACCTTTAGGTGGTATGCAAGACTGGAACTACTTACACACAAATTGCTTTGAAGTGACTATTGAACTAGGTTGTGTGAAATATCCGTTTGAGAAAGATCTGCCAAAACTTTGGGAACAGAATCGAAGATCTCTAATCCAGTTTATGAAACAGGTGATGATTCAGGAATGAACTATGAAATTTCTCTCAAGAACAAGATTTCTGTGTGTACATGTGGTTTTCATGCATTGATTTTAGAATACATCTTTTTGAGCCCAATTTGACTCATTCATGGTTCAGTACATTTACCTAGAAAATTCATGGATCGAAATGGGTTTATTTGTATGTATGGAGAAGAGTTGAAGAAAATGATAGGTAGTGAAGTTTTGCTGTTGATGGTTAGTGATTGCATTTGATCCTGTCTTTATTAAAAGCTAACATAAAGTGAGCATTTGTCAAGTGATAGAAAGATGGGCTGTGGGGTAAATGTTTTATTCTTTCTCTTTTTGCCAGTGATTTACTATGAGATGATTAATTTCCTTTTGTTTGGATATGCATTGTGGCCAGTAGGTAAAGACTATAAGAAATACGCTAATGGTTAATTAGGATAATCTGACTAATACTTTGTGCCTGTACTTTTCCACTTTATTCTTTGTGGTGAATAGTGAGGCATAAAGCCTGTGAGTTTGCATACTAATTTTTAAAAACATTTTATTCTGAAAAATTTTAGACATACAGAAAAGTTATAAAACTGGTACAATTTGAGACACTCTTATTCCTATACCTACATTTATCGATTGCTAACATTTTGCTGTATTTGCTGTACTTATATGTAAATTATAGACATTTATTTACACACACATTTTTTGCTGAACCAATTCAAACTAAACTGCAGATGTTATCATATTTTACCCCTAAATATTTCAGCATGCATCTCCTGAAAATAAGGATATCCTCCTATATAATTAAATGCCATTTATCTCACCTAAGAAGATTAACAGAAATCCCTAATGTTACCTAGTACCGAGTCTGTATTCAAATTTCTCCCACTTGTCCCCAAAATATCTTTTTATAGCTATATTTTAGAGCCAGGATCTAGTCAAGATTCACACATTGCATTTGATTATTATATCTCTTTACTCTTTTAACCTAGAATAGTTCTTCTATTTTTTTTAACAACTTTTCTTTTTTGAAGAGGCCAGGTCAGTTTACTGGTAGAATGTTCCATGTTTTGAATTTGTCAGAATATGCTGAAGTTTAAACAGTGTTGTTTATATTCCTCATGGTAAAGACAAACCTAGCCTATTAAAAAACAGCCTTCTAGAAACTAAAATGTTTTGTTTAATGAGTGTTTACATTTAGCTTTACTCTAAACTCCTAAATTCCTGTTTGCTCCATACTTTTACATTATTAAGAGCCTGTTATTTTGTCGTGTGATTTCACAACATAAGTAGATGATGATTTTTACCGTTGAAATCTGGTGTCCTGCCTTATCCAGGTTCATCAAGGTGTCAGAGGATTTGTCCTAGATGCCACAGATGGCAGGGGTATACTAAATGCCACCATTAGTGTTGCTGAAATTAATCACCCAGTAACTACTTACAAAACTGGAGATTACTGGCGTCTCTTGGTTCCAGGAACTTACAAAATCACAGCATCTGCTCGAGGGTAAGTGACTGAATGCTTTGAAATTGAGTGTTTGGAGATAAGACAAACATGGCTCCGTTCTGGAAGATTAGTACCAGAAAGCCCTGGAAAGCCTGCTAAGCAACGTTTAGTTTAATGTTGGGAAGTTTACAGCTTCTTAACACTTTTGACTCTCCTCTAGTGGCAAAATGAGTGCACTAACTAGCAGATGTAAAAAATCTGTGAAATTAAGCACCCCAAACAGCGACCTCTTTTACCTTCTTCCACCTCTGCTGATCACCTGCCCCCTGTCTGGATGTAAAAGCCATAGTGAATGATTTCCTTCACTATTGGTAAAAATTCTGGGAAGCACCTGTTAGTTGAAAAAACAATATTCCTGCCCTGCTGCACATTTCTAGTCATGTTATCCAATAAATACCACCACCTAACATTTGTACCCTTTTAAAGGTCTTTCACAGAAACTCATTTTTTAATGTTCTACATTTGCCTTATTGCTTCAGTGAAATTTACTTCTTATTGCCAGTTCTTTAAGTAAGACTGCCTTCATTTTTTCATGTTTTCTTTCCACAAAGATATATTTCTTGAAAAAAGAGTGAATGAACTTATGACCTTTTATTTTCCTTTTTCTTTATCTTTTCCCCTCCTTTGCAGCTGAAAATTAGAACCACTTGGCTGCTTAGATTGAAGCTTATCATTTTTACCCTCTTACTGTTTTCTTTTTCATGTTTTGATTAGATGTTACTGCAGGATATTTTTCCCTCATTCTACTAGCTGTCTTGTTTCTGAAGAGTTAGTTGAACAACCATTGGAGTAAGAGTAAATACATGAAAACATTTACAGCTACTGTTACTTTTTTAAAAATTATTTTCAAGTATCTAGTGCCCAGATATGGATGAGTTAAAACTTGCACTGATGAGTAATAAAATCTTTTCTATTTTTCTTCAGTTTTGGCATAGTACTGGATAAACTAAAGCAGCAAGGTATCTGAGAAATATGGCAAGAAGGGTGTGTTTGGTAGAGAATATCCTGTTAGTACATCTCAAACTTTTCTATCCACATACCCTGATGCAGACAAGTGAACTCAGATTCCAAAAGACATGAGGGTATCCATTGCCAGCACGAAATTTTTTTTGAAGTCATATGTATAATCTTAAGAACTCATTCATATTGTACAGTCAACTACATATATGTTCATTGTTTATTAATATTTTAAAAACTTAAATGATCATAAAATTAAAAATTTGACTCTTTAGAAAGATGCACCATGTTTATCCCAAACACTCATGTACCTTCCACACATTTCTATTTTCCCAGGGCTTGGGTACTCCAGCTGAAGAAGTGTGGCTCTGATCTGTCTCTTTATTACAGGTATAATCCAGTCACCAAGAACGTGACTGTAAAGAGTGAAGGTGCTATTCAGGTCAACTTCACACTTGTTCGATCTTCAACAGATTCAAACAATGAATCAAAAAAAGGAAAGGGGGATAGCACCAATACTGATGATGCCAGTGATCCAACTACTAAAGAGTTTGAAACTTTAATTAAAGACCTTTCAGCTGAGAATGGTTTAGAGGACCTCATGTTACGCTCCTCTTCAAACCTGGCTCTCTATCGATACCATTCATACAAAGACTTATCGGAGTTTCTGAGAGGACTTGTAATGAACTATCCACAGATTACAAATCTTACCAGGTAAGGGTCATCTTCTTACTGTTTTATTGCCTTTTTTTCTTTCTTTTCTTTTTTAGTGTGTACAATTCTGAGTTTATTGCTTATTAATTTTGTCATTCCACACAATTTTAAATAAACAGACTTTGAGAAAATATACTGGGAGTGTTAAACAGATGATGGCAATAGTGATGAAAATATTCAGGTGTTTTACATAAGATAATGAGAGACACCACTGCTACCACCCCGCCCTGAAATTTCTATACTTCATATAGAAGGAGTAAAAATAGTTCATTGGCATTTAACTAGCATGCTTTGTAATTGATGAGCCATATGAAGTCTGAACAATTCCAGAATCTTCACTAGCAGATCTAAGAGTTTCAGTTTCTTTAGAAAATAAGAAAGCAAACAGATTCACACAAGAACAAAAAAATTACAAACACACAACCCCCAAAACAAAAGTTGGCATATTCCAGTGGTCCTGAATTTTAATGTTTCTATCATATTAATTCAAGAAATAAAATGTGATTCAGCTTTTGCAAATGAGATTAAACTCCTTCACTGTTATTATACTTACTTTATAATTCAAAAGATTTAACTGAAGCCAGTGTTACTAACACAGTAAAAACCATGCATACAACTCAAAAATCTACTCTTATGCTAAGGTAACTTCCTTAGAAATCAATTATTCTTTAAAAAGTGGGATCCAAGCTTCACAGGTACAAACTGAGGCAATAACATTTTTACCCTTCCTGATACCACGGCATTAATTCTAATTGTTTTTAAAGCTGGGAGGTATATGCAAAATCACTGTATACATTGCACATAAACATTAATAACTTTTCCTGATACATTAAAATTACACCAATAGTTTCCTCTGTTAATGATTTTTTAAAATCAAGCATGTACTACAGTTCAGCATTTGAAAGACTTTATGTCTTTTATGGCAAAGATGCTCAGGTTGAGAAATATGTTTGTATACTTGAAACAAAACTTGAATGTGTTTTATGTTAAGCCATTTAGAAGATCTCAATTATCAAACATCTAAAAACACACAATAGCAGATAAATAGGAATTTATTAAAAATCATTGTTTCCAACAATAAAAAATTAAATTAAGACATCTTTTACTCCATCATGGTATATGCAGCAAAGAGAAATGTTTCAAATAAGAATCAACACTTCTATTTAAAATGCTTTCTAATGTATTTGGCAGCTTTTTTTTTTTTTTTTAATATTCTGCTATTCCACATACCATTAAAGGCACTCATAATTATATATCTTGACTGAAACCAAGAGAAAAGTATAAACAGATATTCATTTATTAAAGAGAAGCTGTGCACCCTTGAATAATAAAAAGGAACTACAAAGAGTATTATGTATAAAGTCCAAATATCAGTATTTAAATTTCTTTAAAGTAATTTATGCTTCAGTAATGAAAAGAAACAAGAAATGAAGACTTTATTTAAGATAAGAAGCCTATTAATATGGATCATGCTGCAAAATAATAGTTCACTCAGTATTTTGCTCCGCTGGGATGAGGGCTTGAAAAGGGCTTCACACTCCTTTATCACATCCACCAGAAAAAGGTCATATAAATTAACACTGATTATTTACTATTCCCCATATTTGTCCATTTACAATGCTTGACAGGCTTTGCAGAGTATACTAAACAGTAACATTTTCACCTTTGATTAAGGCAAGTTTGTGAAGATAATACAACACGATCTCTTCATGAACTTTTAGCTTACAACATTTTTAATGTAAGAAACATACAAAAATTTGTTTTATAAACAGCCACCTGAATACCAGAAAAAAGTGATGAAATCTTTTGAAATGAACCCTGTTTATTTTTTAAAGGAGCTCTCTCTTTGTCTCAAATTCCAAGCGTTATTCATTATCTTTGCACCCAGTTTTGCTTATATGTTTCACCACATCAACCCAGTTCCAGCCTCAAGGAAGTTCCCCTTTGTGATCTGTTTTATCTGGTTATATTTCTGGGCTTTTGAAAGTTGTTCCTCTTTGTCTTTTTTTCTTACTTGATGGGGCTGTATTAGGAGTTTCAACTGAGATGATATTCCTTATGAATGTTGTAGAATTAATGGAACCGTGTTTCTCCCTGAACTGTGCCTTATTGTCCTTGGCATATTCAAATAACACATAGCTTATAGCAGTTCCAAGATTAAGTTCAACTGCTTCCTGTAACTTGGCTAATATCCTCTGCTTTACAACTGATGATATGGTGTTGTTAAAAAAAGCGTTCATAGATATAATTGGAGGTGTTTGAGGGTATGTTTCTGTCCAGGCAATCTCTATTAAGAAGGCTTTGGGATCACCATTTTCACCTACCCTATATTGAAATGAAACTGGACTTAATTCCCGGAAACTTTCATCTCCTTAGTAAATAGAACATAATGCTCCTAGTTCCATCTCCTGGTCCTTGTTGGCACTGATTGCGCCAGCTATGGGGCGTCTCCCACGCAGACGATGTTTGCGACAACTAAGAGTGAGGGCAGTGGCCCGGAGACCCTGACTTCCCCTTTTGTGCACCCTTGGCTGTAGATACAGCCTCAGACAGGAATCACATGTGCCCCGGGCCCCCAGGCAGCGCGAAGCCGCCATGTTTTACTGCCTTTTTTCCTTTAAAGAGGATACATTCAGCATTAGCCACATTGAATGGTTCTTGTAGTTTATTTGGAAGTATTTGGGAGTTGAATGTAAAGAGACTTGGCGTTTACTTATTTTCCAATAGATATTTGCTTAGAGATCTTTCTAACAATGAATCTTAGGACCTTTTATGAGGTACCAAAAACCCAAACCCAAGCCCATTGCGGTCGAGTTGATTCTGACTCATAGCAACCCTATAGGACAGAGTAGAACTACCCTGTAAGGTTTCCAAGGAGCAGCTGGTGGATTCGAACTGCCCACCTTTTGGTTAGCAGCCATAGCTTTTAACCATTGCACCACCAGGGCTCCCTATGAGGTACACTGGAGGAGTATTACTTGTTACATTAGCAGTGTATAGCCCATGCCATATAAAATTATTCTTCCTCATGATTGCTTAGATTGATTTTAAAACTTTCCACTTGTAAGTTGCAGAATCATGGTCTAAGTGTTGCATTATTTGTTTTGTTTTGCCAAGGGCAAGGGAGGAATTTGGAAGGAAGTATAAGCTCACCTGCTCAGGATCACATATAACCTTCTTTTTTCCAATTAGGAAATGAAGCATGGTTGCTGTCATTTCCTGTAGTCTAGTCTCTCTTCATAAGGAGCCCTGGTTGCCCAATGGTTAAGCACTTGGCTGCTAACCCAAAGGTCTGTGGTTTGAACCCACCAGCAGCTCCTGTAAAGATTACAGCCTCGAAAACTCTGTGAGGCAGTTATACTCTGTCCTATAGGGTCTGTATGAGTTGGAGTCGACTCAGTGTCACAGAACAACAACAGTCTATTTACAGTCTCCGTTCCCTGCAGCTTTAGGGACATCTGATTGAGGGTCCCGGGAAAATATGCATTACTGCGTTATGTAAAACTGATGACTGAGATAGGCTTTACCTTCACTTTCTGGGACTTTTCTGCCTCACTTTCATTATAGGTCTCTCTTTAAAATCTGTTGCTTTTGGGTCGATTCCAACTCATAGTGACCTTGTAGGACAGAGCAGAACTGTCTCCATAGGGTTTCCAAGGCTGTAATCTTTGCGGAAGCAGACTGCCACATCTTTCTCCCGCAGAGCAGCTGGTGGGTTCGAACTGCCTGCCTTTCAGTCAGCAGCTGAGTGTTTAACCACTAGGTTAATACTCCAAAAGTATTTCCATGATATGTTGCCTATCATGTGGTCCTTTACTTTTACTTTAATGTCATGTATCTTGGTTCCACGTATAGCTTATAGACTTTCTTATTTTAAAAAGAACCAAAAATTGGAAGTTATTTTGCTATCCATTTACTTATTTTTGTTTTTAAAATATTCCAATTCAAGATGAACTTTTTAATTATTTCTTTCCCTAAAATATGGAACACCTGCCTGGGGTGGGACAGAAGATGACTTCAGGTGGTGCACCAACAGGCATTGAGTATCACTGAATAGCGCAGTGAAAAAGCACTAATGTTTCTATTCCATTGAGCCTTCTCAATTTAATGCTAATATATTTTTTTCTATTTAACTCTTGTAAATTTCCCTTTACATCAAAGAAGGCAGGCCTTAAGCTCCGTGTTCTTGGCAAGCAGAACGTATGGCCATTGTTTTGTTTTCATTGCATTAGTTTTACTATGATACATTTATAGTAAAGTGTAAAGTGTCTTATTTACATAAATTAGTTTAGATATAAAAAGTGGAGGTTCTCTACATTGGTGGCTGTTTAAATATTTCTGTAACAAAAATTTAAGTTAATTTAGAAGAACTGAATTAGGAGTCCTGGTGGCGCAGTAGTTAAGAACTCGGCTGCTAACCAAATGGTCAACAGTTCAAATCCACCAGCCACTGCGTGGAAACCCTATAGGCCAGTTCTACTCTGTCCTAAAGGGTCGCTATGAGTCTGACTCAATGGCAACAGGTTTATTGTGGAAACCCTGGTGGCATAGTAGTTAAGAGCTCAGCTGCTAACCAAAAGGTCGGCAGTTTGAATCCACCAGGTGCTCCTTGGAAACCCTATGGGGCAGTTCTACTCTGTCCTGTAGGGTTGCTATGAGTTGGTATCAACTTGATGGCGATGAGTTTGGTTTTTTTGGTTTATATTAAGTAAATAGTAGTAAAGATTATAGAAGATAGGACAAATATTCTGAAGATAGTATGAGAATGACTGAATTGGAGGAATGCTGAACTAAATCACAATCTTGCTTAAACCTGATAATATCTTCTATTCTCCTTTCTTTGATCAAAGAAAACTAAGTTTCTTAAGGTTTTCTGACACAATGATTAATTCTTTAAAGATTTTTTAAGGCTTT